ATATTCCTACCTGAACCCGTTTTTGCACATGGTCAGTTATATGTTGCTTTCTCTCGAGTTTGAAGAGCATGTGATGTTACAGTTAAAGTTCTAAGTACTTCATCACAAGGGAAATTAGTCAAGCACTCTGAAAGTGTTTTCACTCTTAATGTGGTGTACAGGGAGATATTAGAATAAGTTTAATCACTTTATCAGTCATTGTTTGCGTCACTGTTGTTTTTATATCATGTTTTTGTTGTTTTCATATCATGTTTTTGTCATTTTTATATCATGCCTCTGTTGTTGTTATATCCTTTTGTTACTATTTATTTATTAATAAATGTATATATTATTTTCATATACGTTATACTAATTTCCTTTCATCTCTCACACTTCTATTATAGAGAAAGGGCAAATAGCAATATTAAAATATTTCCGCTAATTAATTCCCTTTTAATGTGCACGAATTTCGTGCACCGGGATACTAGTTGTAAATAATTCTGCAGTGAGCATAGGGATGCATATATCTTTTCAAATTAGTGTTTTGGACTTCTTCAGTAAATACCCAGAAGTGGAATTGCTGGGTTTTTCTTTGTCTCTTGTTACAACCTTTATTTTAAAGTCTACTTTGTCTGATGTAAGTATTGCTAACACAGCTTTTGTTTCATTTTCATTTGCATGAAATATCTTTTCCAGCCCTTCACTTTTAGTCTGTGTGTCTTTCAATCTGAAGTGAGTCTCTTGTAGACAGCATTATGTATGGTTCTTGTTTTCTTAGCCATTCAGCCATCCTATGTCTTTTGATTGGAGCATTTAATCCATTTTCATTTAAAATAATTATTGATAGATATGTAATTATTGCCACTTTATTATTCATATATTTGATCTTTTCTTTTTAATGAAGTCTTTTTAACATTTCTTATAATATTGGTTTTTTTTTTTTTTTTGTCTGGGAAGCTCTTTAGCTGTCTTTCTATTTTAGTGATAGCCTTGCTGGGTAGAGTGATCTTGGTTGTAGGTTCTTGTTTTTCATCACTTTGAATATTTTGTGCCAACCCTTTCTGGCCTGCAAAGTTTCTGTTGAGAAATTAGCTGACAAACCTATGGGAGCTCCCTTCTTATTTGGGTCCCATTTTATTTAGGACTCTCTGCACTTCCTGGACTTGTATGTCTATTCCCTTTGCCAGGTTAGGAAAGTTTCCCATCATAATTTCTTCAAATAGGTTTTCAATCCTTTGCTCTCACTCTTCTCCTTCTGGTACCACTTTGATGTGAATGTTGGTATGCTTGATTTTACCCCTGAGGCTCTTTAAACTATCCTTATTTTGTGATTTCTTTTTTCTTTTTTCTGTTTTGATTGGGTGTTTTCCATTACCTCGTCTTCAAAATTGTTGATTTGATCCTCTGATTCATCTAATTTACTATTGATTCCCTCTAGAGTATCCTTCATTTTAGTTACTGTACACTTCATTTCTGACTGGTTCTTTTTTATGTTTCCTATCTCTTTGTTCAAGGCCTCACCAAGTTCATCTACTCTTCCCCTAAGTTAATTGAACATCCTTATAACCAGTGTTTTGAACTCTGCATTTGGTAAATTGCTTGTCTCCTATTGTTTAGTTCTTTTGCTGGAGTTTTGTTCTGTTCTTTCATTTGGGACATGTTTCTTTGTCTTCTCATTTTGACTGACTCATGTTTGTTTCTCTGTATTAGGTAGATCTGCTATGTCTCCTGGTCTTGGTAGAGTAATTTATGTAGAAGGTGTCCTGTGGGTCCCTATGGTGCAGTCTCCTGGTCACCTGAGCTGGGTGCCCCAGGCCTGTCCCTTGTGTGTGTTGTGTGTGCCCTCCTGTTGTAGTTGAGCCTTTATTGCTATTGGCACATCAGTGGGAGGGATTGACTCTCAAGCTGATTGACTGTGAGGAATGGCTGTGATTATAGCTGAAAAGCTATTGTGTAGGCCTGTTGTTATATTGATGACGCAAGAGAACCTGTTTTTTCTGCATTCTTTGAAGACCAAGCTGAGGTGAAAAGGGAACATGGAAAGCAATTCCTAAAATATCTAATAGGACTTGGGAATACCATCTGCCTACCAGTGATTAAGCGGCCTGAGGTAGATAACTGGCAAACCGGCATAAAAGCTCTGGAGTATGCTTTGGAATTGG